GTCAGATGAGGACAAGGAAGTTGAGACTGAGTCCTCCCAATCTTCCTGCCCCGCGTATGATGAGCTGCTTGAGGTTATGGATCGTGCCAGATAAAGGTGACGCCTCGAGGCCGCCTCGATGAGCATTTTCTTTCTAGCCATAGCCCTCCAGCTTAGGTGAGCCTTCCATTTGCCTTCCTTGCAGATCGAGAAGGCTTGGAAAAATCCATTCTCATTTCGCATCCATAGATTCCAGCATACTAGTTATGCCAACATTGAGGGGATGTGTGAGAATGGTTATGAGAAGATTCCCCCTGTTGAAGAGACGCTGGCTTGCTATCTCCCTATGGGGGAGACACCTTCTCTTAAAGCCATCTTAAGGCTCCCTCCCTGCCATCCAAACCCCTTCAGGATACATCTCGTTTGAATGGCAGGGCATACGCGGCAGCAGGTCAGGCTGCAGCCTCGTTGCATACCATGGCGGTGCTTCAGGCTTATGAGGCTGATCTGCTGAAAGACCTGGATAAGGGTCAGGGTCTATCCCCTGATGAGGAGGCTGAGTTGCGTTGCACCACAGATCTTGCTCTCCGTGCCACTAAGCAGGCTGCCACTGCCATTGGCAGATCCATGGCGGCCATAGTGGTTACGGAGAGACATCTGTGGGTGAATTTGGCGGATATCGGGTCGAAAGAGAAGGGCTTTCTTCTTGATACGCAAGTTTCCCCTTCTGAGCTTTTCGGCACTTCCGTCGAGACGGTGGTCGAGAAGTTTAAGGAGGCCAAGACGTGCTCAGTTGCCTTTAAATCCTTCATTCCACGAAGCTCCAGGTCTGAGCTCGAACAACAAAGGGGTCCTGGCTCGTCTCGATCTAAGGATCAAAGGTGGGCTCAGAAGACTAGTGTCGTGACTCATGCCCCTTCCCCGCCTGCGGGTAGGGCTCAAAAGGGGCGTGGGTCAAAGAGTGACAGGCAAGATTTGAGGGAGGTGATCCAGACTAGGCGTTCTCAACGCTCTCGTCTGGACCAGAGTAAAACCTGAGCCATCTACTCACCTCCCTCTGAGAGTATTTACATCTGCTCTCATCTTTCTCCCCTTAATTCCCCTAAAAAAGCTTCCCTCCTAAATAAGGTTAGGTAGAGCCTCCTGCGCTTGCATTGCAGTCTCTTATGCTGGACCTATGATGTTTTGGCTAGTTTCTATGTCTCATAGAACTACCTACTGATGGTCCGGACCCCAGTGCTCTTCGAATTTCGCCTCCAGCCTATATCCATGAGCCTGAGTCATGCGCGGGAGCCATGGTTGGTGAGTACGATCCATTTCATCTACTCTATTGCTAGTTTTTGTGTATTCAATACTAGCCTTTCTCTGCAGTGCTACTCGGACCTGTTCTATTCTCTGACTTTTTTGGTTTGACCCCCCTGCTAAGTCAGGACCTCCTGCTGTTGACCGATTGTAGTGATGGTTTCACTCATCGGTACTGGATCCAGGCTCCCTATCTTAAACTGGTCAGGGTGCGCTACTCATCTCTCACCCTAAGGGGTCTCCTGAGATTTGAGTCTATCCTTGTCCATCATGCATGTTCTCTGAGCTAGAGCTCCTTTCACTGAGGCATTGAGGGGCTCAACACTCCATAGACGGTCAAGTCTGCGGTCCTCCCTGTCACACTGCCCTTATGTTCGAACCAGTAATAGCCCCTCTGCGGAGTGGGCTTGAGTACACTGCGTTTCCTGAGGTACAAGGGATTTGTGTTTCTGCTGAAACCCCTCTTGTATGCTTCTGCTCTGAGGAGCAGTAAGCATCCTTGTCCATCATGCATGTTCTCTGAGCTAGAGCTCCTTTCACTGAGGCATTGAGGGGCTCAACACTCCATAGACGGTCAAGTCTGCGGTCCTCCCTGTCACACTGCCCTTATGTTCGAACCAGTAATAGCCCCTCTGCGGAGTGGGCTTGAGTACACTGCGTTCCCTGAGGTACAAGGGATTTGTGTTTCTGCTGAAACCCCTCTTGTATGCTTCTGCTCTGAGGAGCAGTAAGCTCAGTACGCATGAATAGTTATTTGGTCCCGCTATTTCGTCGGGTCTGGTTACACGGAACCCACGCTCTCTATTGAGAGAGCATGAGACCGTGTCCAGCTGCACCAGTGGACTGTCTCTTATTGGGCCCTGCTGGGTTACCCCTTCTAATCTAGTGCCTCCTTCTGGCCGAGCTAAGAAGAGCTCCCCTCACTGTGAGGGTTAGCTATGAGTCGCTCCCTGTATGTGCTGTAAGGGCCCACCTCAGCTTGAGAGCCGAGAGCGCTGCTCCCAAAAAACTCCATTTGCAACGAAAGTGTTAGGCCCGTCTCTGTCGCCTCCTTGGTCAGTTGCCTCTATCTTGGCACCCTGTTGTTCCCTGTAGAAATGTGTGATCCCCTTCTAGCAGGATCCCATTTCTGATGTCCCATTTGCGATCTATCTGCTCTCCGGACTTGGCTGTGCTCCCCTCACTGCGGGAGGGTCCCTTTGAACTCGCCGGTCCTGGGCAGACTGGGTGAGTCCTCCTCTCGACTTGAGAGTTAGGTCTTCTGACCCTGGGCTATTGATCGCTTCAGTCAAGCTGGGTTCCTCTCTCTCCTCGCTAGGGGTTGAACCCTCTGCTCTTGAGCTCCGTGGCAGTGACATCAGGTAGTTGGGCCGCTTGCTGCTTCCCTGATAAGCTGCCTCTATTTGGGTCAAGCCGGGCTGTGGACTTCTCTCATTGAGTCCTCTGCTCATTTGAGCTCCACTGAGTAGCAGCCTCAGGTTGTTAGGCCTCTCTCTGCCTCCCTGTTGAGCTGCTCTTCTTGTGGATTGGGCCCTGCTGGGTTACCCCTTCTAATCTAGTGCCTCCTTCTGGCCGAGCTAAGAAGAGCTCCCCTCACTGTGAGGGTTAGCTATGAGTCGCTCCCTGTATGTGCTGTAAGGGCCCACCTCAGCTTGAGAGCCGAGAGCGCTGCTCCCAAAAAACTCCATTTGCAACGAAAGTGTTAGGCCCGTCTCTGTCGCCTCCTTGGTCAGTTGCCTCTATCTTGGCACCCTGTTGTTCCCTGTAGAAATGTGTGATCCCCTTCTAGCAGGATCCCATTTCTGATGTCCCATTTGCGATCTATCTGCTCTCCGGACTTGGCTGTGCTCCCCTCACTGCGGGAGGGTCCCTTTGAACTCGCCGGTCCTGGGCAGACTGGGTGAGTCCTCCTCTCGACTTGAGAGTTAGGTCTCCTGAGCCTGGGCTATTGATCGCTTCGGTCGAGCTGGGTTCCTCTCTCTCCTCGCTAGGGGTTGAACCCTCTGCTCTTGAGCTCCGTGGCAGTGACATCAGGTAGTTTGGCCGCTTGCTGCCTTCCTAATAAGCTGCCTCTATTTGGGTCAAGCAGTGCTCCCCTCACCTCAGAGGGTTGTCTTTGAGCCTGCCGCCCCCCATTGAGCGTCGGAGGACTTCTCTCATCGAGTCCTCCGCTCGTTTGAGCTCCATTGAGTAGCGGCCTCAGATTGTTAGGCCTCTCTCCGCCTCCCTGATGAGCCGCTCTCCTTTTGGGTCGAGCTTAGCAGTACCCTTGGGGGTTTCATATTAGCACGCCCCTCTCGATTTGAGCATCTGAGTCCCCCTTCTGTTTTTGAAGTTGGGCCTCCGCTCTTTTGAGCTCCAGATAGCAGTCATGCCAGGTGGCTGGGCCATCTCCTGTCTCCCTGGTAGGTTGCTTGTTAAGTGAGCTAGTTGTGCTCCCCTCACCATGAAGAGCTTCTTGCAAGTGCGCCGCTCCCTTCTAGACATCTGTGAGCAGATGCTTCGGAGGTTGTTCTGTGAGCATGCCACAGTCACGTAGGGTTCCTAGGCTGGTTGAATACAGCTTCGGTTACCCCTTAAGCAACGGTGTTTCTAAATCCATGCTATGGTAAGAGCACATGCTGAGCTTCTGTGCACTTTCTAAAATCAACATTGTGGTAAGTGTGCACGCTAAGCATTCTGCGCACTTTTTAAAATCCTGTATGGTAAGGGTTACACGCGGTCAGCTTCGTTCCCTTTCTCTGGGTTGGTTTAAACCCTGATTTTCACCATGGGCTCCACTCAACTTATGTATCTCTGTTGATACATTTCTGAGCAGGATGTGGCTACCAAAGATCTGTCGAGTTAGTTCCTTGAGCAGGTTTATTCAGAACCGGCGGTAGCCCCCCTGGGTGGCATGCCAGGGTCTGGTTTGGTTTTTTTAGACACCTGGTCGTATCCCCTTAAAGGAATCTCTTTTTTTCTGATTTCAAGCCTTGAGCTCTGCCCTAGGCTTGGGCTTCCTAGCCCTGCCCTTAACAGGTAAGTTCTTTTAGGGTATGCAGCTCGGGCTCTTGGCCGAAGGGGATAATGTCAGTGACAGCCGTCCTTGGGGCAACTCCCATAGCTATGATAGAGTTGGTACTTAGTGCTCCGTGTGGTTTCTGGCATGCACTCCCCTCAGCATGGCGGCGTGGGTATACCGTTCCCCATAGTGACCCCTAGAGGACACAGTTCAAAGTTCCCTCGGAAGGGAACATCTCAGGTTACGTAGGTAACCACGGTTCCCTGAGAAGGGAACGAGACACTGCGTCCTCTAGTTCCCTTGCCATGCTTCGGACATAAGCTTCAGACGAAGAAGCGGATGACGTGTTTTCCCGGCGCCTTTTTATACTGTGGTCACGCCGGGTGATGACGTCACAGGCTGTCGCCGGCCAATGTTATTGTTGTGTTTAGATGTATGCTTCAGACACCGGTCACACTGAAGGCATCCCCCAGTGTCTCGTTCCCTTCTCAGGGAACCATGGTTACATACATAAAATGAGATGTTTTTTCTATAATATTTATATAAGCTTTATGTTGATGTTGTGATCATTTAAAATTTACAGAAAGCATAAAAAACTGATCTGATGTTAAAGCATCTGTTTTAAAGTAATGGCACCTCAAAGTGAATTTTAGATACTGTAGTTAATATTTAATGTTTGATAGTTACTGCAGTTAATATCTATTTTTTTTCTGTAGATGAGTCTTTCAACCCTGGAGAAGAGGATGACGACGTCCCAGAAGTTTAAAAGTGATTTAAAAAATGTTTTCCTTGATTTTGTCAAGGTTTGTCAGTCTTTCACTCTGATGATATAATGCTGTCTCTGTGCAGGAATTACAGTAACGCTTCAGAGAGAGATAGTGAGGCAGATGATAGAGACAGTGAGGATGAAGGCAAGACGAAAAAAGCTGAAAAGAAGCCCAAGAAAGTGGTGAAGAAGAAGAAAGAGAAAAACACAGAAAGAGGTCATACTTTTTTGTCAGTATCTCAGCATTTATATCATTATCTGTTAGATTAAAGGCATCAGAGAGATGCACACTGGTGCTTTTGACACCTTGCTGATTTGTTATTGTCTGTTAAAATGGCACAAAATGAATAACACTATGCAATACCTAAGTTTAATGGCATCTGTTCAACAGTTCAGAAAATGAAACCTGAAACGAAACACTTCATTAAAACGTCTCTTCCTGTCTCTGTGACAAACATAAAAAGGTGAAGGAAGCAGTTGCTCCTAAAAGGCTGATGAGCGCTTACATGCTGTTAGAGAGTGAATCAAGAGTGAGATTCCTGGGATTTCGGTCACTGAAATTTTCAAGAAGGCTGGAGAAAAATGGAAACAGCAGGGCAAAGACCTGACAGAGGTCAGCTGCATTAAAATCACACACACACCAGTAACCAGTATGTCTTCACAGACCTTATTAAGAAAAAAATATTAAAATATTTGAACATCTCTGATTTCAATACTAGTTTTGCTTTAATCGTTTTTATTTTATTATTATTTCTTTAAGTGAGACTTTTAAGTTACTTTCCATCAGTCACCTATGATTCGGATTTAGTAAAAGCCTATTACAATTAAGTATGCAAATACTGCAGTGACATCACTGGTGGCCATAAGACATATTAAAACATGCATTTCTTAAAGTTTTTTTTAAGTAATATATAGCCTAGCACATCCACAATTGAAACTAAGCCTGAATATTTAGCAGTTTGAACTCAAAAACACACAAAAAGAAAAAAACTGAAATATGGTGAACTATTATTACAATTTAAAATTTGAATATAGATTGTAAAATGTAATTTATTCCTGTGATCAAATCTGAATTTTCAGCATCATTACTCCAGTCTTCAGTGTCACATGATTCTTCAGAAATCATTCTAATATGCTGATTTGCTGCTCAGGAAGCATTTCTGATTATCAATGTTGAAAACAGTGGTGCATCATATTTTTGTGGAAACCATGATACATTTTTTAAGATTCTTTGATTAATAAAACAATTCAAAAGAACAGCATTCATTTGAAATAGAAGTCTTTTGTAACATTATGAATGTCTTTACTGTCACATTTGATCAATTTAATGCATGCTTGCTAAATATTTTTTGTCCTCAAACATTTGAGTACAATGCCTGTTACTTGCAGCCCTGCATGTTGACACAGTTATTGCTTGTGCTTTTAGAGGAAAGAAAAAGAAAGGAGGGAAGGTGGAAGAAGAAGAGTGGAGGAGAAAAGGAGAGAAAGAAAAAAGGCAGAAATAACAGCTTTAAGAGTAAAGAGTTCAGAGTCAGACATGAATCTGACCATGACAGAGGCAGCAAACGCAAGGTCTGTGACTAATGCCTCTCCTCTTGGATTTATTGGATTTATTGGATTTATTTGAATCCTTTAACCTTGCTTATCTATCGCAGGCATCTGATGATGAGGAGGAGGAAGAAGAGGAGCCCGCGTCCACATCAGCCAGCTCTGAGGAGTCGGGATCTGGCTGATGTCACACTCACAGCACAGAGACATTCCTGCATCTCAGGTTTCACAATAAATAATTGATTGTTACTTGGACCAAGACTTTCTACATCTGTGCCATGTTTGAGCCGCAAACACATTTTTTAAGCATTTTCCCATTCAGACCGAGAACTTGGATATAGACAGGTACCTGTAATATTTTACCCTCATTTAAGAGTGACATCAGTAAAGCTCTCAGATTTGTTCTTTTTTTGTTTTGGTAGACAGACATAATTTAGGGAAGTGTGGATAGACTTTACTTGTAGAGGGGTTTGCCTTCTTTTTATTTTCTCCACACACACACACACACATATATAACAAGCTTAAAAATCATACAGAATTAGTTTTTTTGAGAAAGTAAAAATGCACAAAGTTTCCTGTAAGGGGTAGGGTTGGTGTAGGGCAATAGCACATACAGTTTGTACAGTATAAAAACCATTACGCCTATGGAATGTCCCCATAAAACATGGAAACACAACATGTGTGTGTGTGTGTGTGATGGTCATGTGATGCCTTGACTGAAGACACTTGAGGGACTTTACATATGATGAAACATACTGGTTGAGAAGAAGCGGTGAGGAAGTGCTGACAATAAAATGTATGCTCGGTTGATTGCATTTGTGGCATAATTAATTTTCAGTTAAGCACATTCAATGGAAGTGAATGGTCAATCTTTAAAATAGTGCTTCAGTCGTACAGCCAGTTTCTAAACAACATCAACATGTTGTCAAGGAAATTTTCCACACTGACACCATGCTAAGACAACGTAAATCTAATATAACTGTACAATTATTTAAACAGAATTACAGCTCAAATAATATGCCAGTTTTAATAAAGGAACTAATGTAAATGATTTAATGAAATTGTAAACTTAGCATTTCAGCTTCTAAATCCTACAAAAAATGGTCTCACTGTAGATCATATATTCTGTGACCAAAAAAGTTTATGATTTCTTATATAATCTTGAACACTTAAATACAATCACCAGATATAAACATCTAAACATACTGTGGGGTATAAACAAACTACACCACAGTCACATGATTTCAACGTCACTATTACTAAACTTACGACAATTCTTTCAGTCTTTATCTACAATTAATTTTCTTCGAACATTTGAGTTAAAATAGTTTGCGAGAGTGCAGTTATAAACACACTAGTGAGTAGATGAGTTTACCTGTTCATCATAGTGTTTTAACCAAAAACCCATTGATTTCAATATTGTGATGGATCCAGAAGTGCTAAAAACACAACTCATTTCTGGCGACAAAAACATGTTACACACATTTATGAAACAATACTATGTCACAGAAACTGTGGATAGAGGTTAACTTGCATTAAGCACAGAGCAGTCTTTTAACTGCCTAAAAGTTTAAAGATTGTTCAGTGTAGCATATCCTGGAATTGGGGGAAATTAAACCCCATTATGTTCTTAATGAACCCACTTAGAAAGTTCCTAAGGCATCGTCCCGACACATGCCCTGCCATCTAAGATGACTCAACCAATCATCCTTTCTTGCCAAATTCAAGCAAAATGGCTTTGTTAGAACTGAAAGGCAAGCAAATAAACCCCATCAGGGGAATAAAGTACCAGTAATGGCCTACAATGAGAGCCTGTGGCTTTTAATACAGAATGAGACTTTCATGGTGAAGATATGCGGTCTGTCAAAAGCAAAGGGAAGTTGAAAAGAAGTTGTGGTTTTTAATATGATATGGGTAAGAGAGACGGGTGGAGCCTGTACTGGATGGTCTGGATGTAAGTTGAAATTGAATGGTGCAAGTTTCATTAAATTCACTGTAATCTCAGTGTTGCCTTTTAAAAATGGTTTAAAATGCAATTAAAATATCATATTTACAAAAATTGTCTGTTCTATGAGTAAATATATTTAAAATAGAAAAAAATAATTAAAATAATCCATCTTATCCCATCCTCGCTCTCTCTGTCAAACTCCTGTTTTGTCTCCTGGGTGCCGTTGTATGTCCTCTTTGAAGGAAAATCAATTTTGTGCCATGTGTGAGAGTGGATAATGCCAGTGCTCGACGATGTTCATGACTCTGGCATCTGTAATTTATGGGAAGTTGTGTCCACTCAAGGACGTTTCTCTGAAAGCTTTCCAGTTGGAGATGACGTGACGTCGTAATTGACCACAAACATAATGGGCTCGCTTTAGTGATGATGAAATGCGATCTTCACTTTAAGCACAACGAACTCCAGAAATTTCCTAGTAAACCAGGGAATCAGTAAATATGGGTTACAGTGTTATGGAAAATAGGGTTTTTTAAAATCACTTTGATCCTATTTTTACTTTAAGTGGTACATTTTAATTGACAAATACTTTGTCAATATAGAGCAAGATACTCTGCAAGAGAAATGAACTAATAGATATCTTTGTGTACACAAGTCAGATCAGAGAAGTGGACATAACAGAAAGAGTCGGATGTGAGCCACGGCTGCTAAATTACGGTAACACCTCAGTCTGAAAATATCAACTATTTAGTCACAGTGAAATAGCATGTTTGCCAAGAAAACTGATCTCCATACTATAAAATACAATAGCAAATGGAAAATGGCATTACTGTACACAAGAGAAATGTAAATATTTTTTATTAGGTGACAATTTTGTATTTGTACAACGTGAATGAATAGGAATGTTAAACGCTACACATATATTTCGATGGGACCCAAAAACATGAACAAAATGGAACTGTTATGTGTTTATGTAGTTGTCAGTTCATGTTTTATGTATTTCATTCAGTAATTGACCACTCATAAAGACCTGCCCCACTAGTTCCTGTTGCAACGCCTGACAAGCCATGCCTCTCTCACGCGACACATGTTCTCACGCAGTAAAAAATACATTGCGGAGCAAAGAGGAAACTGACAACGTGCTGACAGACAAGACAGAGCAGGTTACAAAACAATAAATACCGTTTTGTGGCTCTCTAATGTGTCATGACAGATCGCTGTGATGCCTCATCTCAAGCGGCACGTGAACCGTTATAGCACAAAAGTTATAGCACAAAATAAACATGAATGAACATCAGAAGGTGTCTTGTTTCAACCGCGGAAAAAACGTCAATACGCACCATTTTTCAAGTTGTTCAAGTAAAAAAATTGTCTCTATACTGTAACTTGCTTCATTCAGCACCTCTAAGGATGATTTCTATCTTGTGTTATCTTATTATGTATTGCATAATCTTATTATGTTTTGTTACAATTACAAAATACAAAGAAGATTATTCTGTTGAGTTTTCTGTGACTGAAGCATTGAATGTAACAATAATCTTTGCTTTAAATTGTCTCTAAAGGAGAATACATTGCTTGTATCAGTTGCATGGTGCCCCTTGCCCATACTGTGAATCCAGCCCTGAAAACAGTAGCTATGTTTCCATCTACCAATTTTTAAGTGCATTTTGGGATATCGCATAAAGAACGCTGGATGGAAATGCCTAGATACGCATAAATTCTAGAAATGCGAATAAAAAACTTATGCGATCAACTAAGTAGGATAAATTTCTTATCCAGTAAGAAAACATGCGCATAAACTACGATGGAAACATTTATACTGTAACTTGCTTCATTCAGCACCTCTAAGGATGATTTCTATCTTGTGTTATCTTATTATGTATTGCATAATCTTATTATGTTTTGTTGCAATTACAAAATACAAAGAAGATTATTCTGTTGAGTTTTCTGTGACTGAAGCATTGAATGTAACAATAATCTTTGCTTTAAATTGTCTCTAAAGGAGAATACATTGCTTGTATCAGTTGCATGGTGCCCCTTGCCCATACTGTGAATCCAGCCCTGAAAACAGTAGCTATGTTTCCATCTACCAATTTTTAAGTGCATTTTGGGATATCGCATAAAGAACGCTGGATGGAAATGCCTAGATACGCATAAATTCTAGAAATGCGAATAAAAAACTTATGCGATCAACTAAGTAGGATAAATTTCTTATCCAGTAAGAAAACATGCGCATAAACTACGATGGAAACATTTTACCAAATAAATTCCTTAATGGGCATCAAAAAAGATGAGATTTTGTGATGGGACAACATAAAACTGGACCAACCAATGGACCAGTCTCATTGCACAGCATCTGAAATGCTAGTTTTTCTTCGTGATATTTAGCGAAAGTTAATCAGGAAGTGACGATATTGTTCTCTTCAACTCACTGGATGGAAACGTGCTTTATTTGCAAATGTTTTATGCGATATTCCAATTTTGCGCATACGTTTAATTCGTAACTTTGGATGGAAACATAGCTATTATAAATATTTCTATTTCAATGGAAACATATACAATCCTAAACAATAGCAGGTTTTGAATGGTTGACTAGATAGCAATGCCACAAGGGTGATCAGTTTGAAGTTTGTAAAAATTAACCATTTACTTGTGAAACTGTGAAGACTGTGATTCTAATGAAAACAACAATGACAATGCATATTGTGACTTTGTATGTGTGATGAAAATGTCAAACAAAAGACAAAATGCAACAAAATGCAGTTACAATAAAGAATACAATGAATGCATGCTTTATTTAAAGTAAAAGACAATATGCATGCCCTTTTGTAAGTCTAAGGCACTTTCACAAATCAACTGTTATAATTAGACATAGTAATGTGTTTATATGTATAAAAGGTTTGGTTTGTTAAAAAAGAGAGAGATTTCCCTAAAATAAAGCTGGAAAGAGATTAGCAAATGAGCAGGCTATTAGGGAAATGGACAGTCAAGGCCCCTGGGGGCCACAGAGAGGAGAGGCATGAACACGAAAAGGGGAGGGAAAATGTGGTTGACATTTTTTTTCTTTCTTTTTTTTTTTAATACATCAAGTAAAATAAGATCCCTCATTTAGCAGACGAACAGTAGTGAGGAACACACTGGTTTATCCTGCGCCGGATCTCAGCTCAAGAGTTTCTCTAGCTTACACTTGTTAATATTACACACTTCTACTATGGCTCACAGAGTCCTGCACTTCTTCGCTGACTTCTTCGTCTATGAAACAGCCAAATCGGTTGTGGTGAAGAGCTGGTCTGTTGGAATCATCAACCGTGTCACCCAGCTGTTAATTATTCTTTATTTCATCGGGTAAGCGTTGATTATTTCCTTTGATGATGAATGTAAATGTTTTAAATAATGATATAAAAAAACAATTTGGGACTTCTATCTATCTATCTATCTATCTATCTATGCAATGATCTTAATTTTCTAATGAAATGTGAAAAATGTGATTAATTTGAGATGAAATGTGATAAATGTGATTGTCAATAATTCAATTAAAATTTGTATTTTAATTTAATTAATATATCCCCCTTTGCAGCAAAGAAAGTTCAAACGGACAGAATAATAAAAACAATAATAATATCATTTTTTTAATTATGTCATTGCTTCATATGTCCTGTTTCTCACTCTCTTATCTTCACAGAGGCAATTTCCCTTCAAGCCTAAACAAGTCTTACATTCAGAGCTGTCATTACGACCCGGTGGACCATCCGTACTGTCCGGTCTTTAAAGTGGGAGATATCCTGAGACACATCAATCAAAGTTTGGATAACATTACTGACAAAGTAGGTCCACTCAGCTTTACCTCTCATCTGACCACTCAGTTTTCAGTTTATCAAAGAGATCTATTTCATTATATTTTGTAAACTATCCATTAAATCTCTCTGTTGACTGCTGCTGAATTCTTAGAGAAAAAGTTAATATGTCTGGTCTTGATTGGTGTGGTGTTAAACAACAGTCTGTTCTGTAACCAGAACGTGCAGTTACTGCAGAGCAATTGAGATCAGCTTCAAAACACAATATATAGAGGGACCCCTAAAGCAGGGCTTCCCAAATGAACCCTTGGGGGTTCATGAAAGAGTTGCAGGGGGTTTTGGGGACGCAGTGTGTGCTGGGTTCACTTTCTTTACATTCACATCTGCATAATTTCCAACATTTGAGATGAAATGTGATTGTCAATAATTCAATTAAAATTTGTATTTTAATTTAATTAATATATCCCCCTTTGCAGCAAAGAAAGTTCAAACGGACAGAATAATAAAAACAATAATAATATCATTTTTTAAATTATGTCATTGCTTCATATGTCCTGTTTCTCACTCTCTTATCTTCACAGAGGCAATTTCCCTTCAAGCCTAAACAAGTCTTACATTCAGAGCTGTCATTACGACCCGGTGGACCATCCGTTCTGTCCGGTCTTTAAAGTGGGAGATATCCTGAGACACATCAATCAAAGTTTGGATAACATTACTGACAAAGTAGGTCCACTCAGCTTTACCTCTCATCTGACCACTCAGTTTTCAGTTTATCAAAGAGATCTATTTCATTATATTTTGTAAACTATCCATTAAATCTCTCTGTTGACTGCTGCTGAATTCTTAGAGCAAAAGTTAATATGTCTGGTCTTGATTGGTGTGGTGTTAAACAACAGTCTGTTCTGTAACCAGAACGTGCAGTTACTGCAGAGCAATTGAGATCAGCTTCAAAACACAATATATAGAGGGACCCCTAAAGCAGGGCTTCCCAAATGAACCCTTGGGGGTTCATGAGAGAGTTGCAGGGGGTTTTGGGGACGCAGTGTGTGCTGGGTTCACTTTCTTTACATTCACATCTGCATAATTTCCAACACTTTTTGTGTACAGAAGTTAACAGCATTTCAACAATATCCCACCAAAATAAATGCTATACTGGATTTAACATATTAAATGCAAAAGGGTTTGAATGTTTGAATTTACGTTTAAATGTCATATCTCAGTTCAAATCGCATATAAGCTAAATAATAATAATAATAATGTAATTGATCACAATAAAATACTTATAAAAGAGATCAAATATTTGATCTAACTTGCATGTCATGTGACCGTGAATATGTAAATGTGTCGTTAAATTATTTAAATATTAATTTAAAAACAGGGAACCAAAAAAAAACAAGTAGTGCATAGAGGTTTACTGTATAGACCAATTATCGGTTTGTAAACATTCAGGATGCGCGTGCATCATGGTTGCAGAAAACCCGGGAGAGATAGCCTTTACGGCTAGAGAATTTCATGGATACGGTACAAAATAGTTAGGTTTAAAAAGATTAGAAATTATATTGATTAGGTTTTATTAAGTTTTCCCAATAATTTGGGCAATATAGTGTATGTTTGGTGCGGTAGGGGGCCCAACCTCATATTCTTTCATAGGGCCCAAAATTGCTAGAGGTGCCCCGATTCCCGCTTCAGTCAAAGTTCAGTCCACAGCATTCGTACCAAAATGTTAAGAAAAAAAGCCAACTCGTCCCAATAACAGCAAAAAAATTAAATAAATAAATAAATAAAAATTGAGGATTTAAAAGCAGAAAATGTGAAGCGTATAGTTTTATTTAAAGGGGTCATATGATGTTGCTAAAAAGAACATTATTTTGTGTATTTGGTGTAATGAAATGTGTTTATGCAGTTTAAGGTTCAAAAAACACATTTTCCACATACTGTACATTATTGTTTCTCCTCTATGCCCCGCCTTTCTGAAACGCATCGATTTTTACAAAGCTCATCGGTCTGAAAAGCAAGGTGTGCTCTGATTGGCCAGCTATCCAGTGCGTTGTGATTGGCCGAATACCTCAAGCGTGTGACGGAAATGTTACGCCCCTACCATACTGTGATGCCCTGTCAGGGCAAAAACATTTTAAAAAAACATTATAAACGAGGCATTTGTTGCATTCAGTGGGGACATAATTATGGATTATAATGACTTATACTGTCTTTTTACGCGTTGCGTTGCATCGCGCCGCGTAAACATAAAACCATGTCTGCATTTGTGATCGGAGAAATGACAAACAACAAGCGCTACTCTACACTGCTCAAAACTCACGTTTGAATCATCAGTGGCAAATCCTTTAAATGAAAACGTACTTATAGTCTGTGAGTCAGAACAGCCAGCATTGTAGTCTGCTCTCAGGATCAGGAAACAGTCCTCCATAAAATGCGTTGCACACATCTGAATATTTGGGTTGAACTGTTCTGGAACAGTGTTGTAAATACAACTTAACCACTGATTTCTAGTCGTGTCCTCTTTTGGAAAGCCAAACAAAGTCGTTTCGCTTTCACAATGAATCACACAGCGTGACACACGGTGGCCTTGAGTGAGCGGCGGCAGGCTGGAGTAAGAGGAGGCCGGTGGGCTTGAGAACGGCGCGGCCAACGGATTCGATGAAGGAGCGTCCGGAGGGCTTGCGGCAACCACATGTGACGACCCCGGGCTGGACTCCGCTTCGTCCACGGTGAAAGCCGATCCGGTGATCCACAGCGCAAAGTTGATGTATTTCCTCAGCGACCAGCACGGATCAGCTCCAGGCATGACGAAGCAGATATC